ACAGCACTTAATTCCAGCTGTAGAGAGGGGAAGAGAAAGCCTAGTTCAGTTTGCTGAATGAGTTTTACAAGACAGGGAAGAGGCAAACAGGCCACTAAAGGGCAAGTGCTAAAGAAGAGCTTTGGCAAAGGGATGGAGGAAAGAAAGGATGCTTGGTTCCAATAGGCAGATATCTGCCTGCTTTGTTCTCCAGGGAGACGTGTGGATTTGTATGGAGCTGATGGATACCTCACTGGACAAATTCTACAAACATGTCATTGACAAAGGTCTGACGATTCCTGAGGACATCTTGGGGAAAATTGCTGTCTCTGTGAGTATGAGCAGGGTGGGAAGGGAAGGCAAAGGGTGTTTCTCCTCTAAGCAAGTCCTACATGCCCCAGGCTCCCTGCTGTATTTGCACCAGGAAGAGCATGGTCCATGTGCCAACCTATGTGGACATTCCTGACTGGTTTCCAGTATGTGGTCTGAGGTGATGTTATTTATAAACCATAAATAACCCCAAATGTGCCTGTACACAGAATGGAGAGGCAGCACTGTGAGATGTGGGGAGTGTCCTGCAGCTCCTTTGCCTTCTCATTAGGGTCCTGGAACCCCTGGGAGGTCCCTGGGTACAGTCACCTCAGGCTGCTGGGAGGGTGTAGGAGTCGTGGGAGACTTTCCTTCCCTCCAGGCAGCTCTGGTGGGAGTGGGGTGGGTGAAGCCAGATAGAATTTCCTCCTCACAGTGCTGCCAGATGTGATTGACTCTGCTTTTGTTGTTTCAGATTGTAAAAGCACTAGAACATCTGCACAGTAAGCTCTCCGTGATCCACCGAGGTGAGTGCCAGGCACTGACCACACTGGTGTGTCTGCCCTCAGCCTGCCAAGGGCTCCCAAAACACTCGAGATAAAATGGGTCTTGGACAGCAAAAATATTCCCCACCATCTCATGGCTTCAGGCAAAACCAGTCAGAGGAAATGGCTGCTGGTTTGCTCCTTAAAAACTGCCTGCAGGTCCCAGTGTTTCCCTGAGGTGAAGTGAGCTCCAGCCTGGTTGTGCTGGCAGAGAAAGAGCTGTTTCCCCTGGGTTGTATTCCCCTAAATCCATGGTCTGCTCAACACCTCTGAAATTCAAGCAGCCTTTTCCTTCTGACTTGGTGAGGTTTGTTCCAGGCTTTGCCAAGGTTTCTCCCTCAGCTCCATGCTGATGTGCACTGAGAGGCATCTCCATGCCAGTGTGATGCCTCATGCAGTGATCTAACCATCCTCATCCCTTTCCATGAGCTTCCCTGAGCGCTGGTGGAGCAGAAAATTTGATACCTGAAATAGCCTCAAGTGAAATCATAAATAACCTCCTTAAACTCTTCTGACATTTTCCCCCTCTAGAGCATCTCAAAGATGCCATGAAAACACTTAGAAACAAATCTACAGTGTTGCTGCTTGACACCTTTATTTTGAAAGGGTCATTTTCAATTTGTCATGAGGAGGAAAAAGCCTTCCCTGGAGTGTGTGAGTGCTGGGAAGGAGCATCTGAAGCAGCAGAGTTCAGCCTGAGCAGTCTGTGGCTCTGGGTACATTCTGCCTGTGGCTGAGGGTTGAGTTTCTGCCTCCTGTATCATTTACAGGAGGTGGAAAACGCTGCTTGGCTGCTGGATTTTTGTTTACTTATTTGATTTCCCCTGGAAATTGTCTGATTTCAGCATAGTAACAGATGGGCTGAGGATCTCAGGTACCTGTGGTGTTTGATTGCAGAATGCTGATTAGAGAGCAGATGTTAACGAGCTGTAAACCACCCAGTTCTAATAAGCAGGAGCCAAAAGCAGCTTCTGGCCTTCTTCAGATGGGGTTTCAGCTTTGTATTTAATACTTTATCACATGGAGACAAGACTTTCCTGCAGAAGAGACCTGTTATTTCGGGGTGGCAACAGGGATGGGATTGCTCCCTGTGGAGGATCTCTGCAGATCACAACACACCTGTGCTGTGCTGAGATTCCATTTGGGATTAGCTTCCCAGAGCATTCCCTGCTGTGCAGGAAAGCACCTCCACTCTCCCCTGGATATCACTCACTGGCATCTTTCTGTGCCTTCATTTCCTTTCTGAGGGGGATTGTAGGTGCCTTCCTGAGTGTGCTGCAAGTGTGAACACACCAGGGACTCTAAAGCTGTGATGGGAAGCAGATAAATCTGGCAGTAATAAATAGATGAGACATTGGCCTGATTTC